ATGTGTGTGTGTGTGTGTGTGTGTGTGTGTGTGTAGGAATGTTTAACGTGTTAGTTGATGTGAATTTTCCCCACTCATATTATATATATATATATTATATTATTTAATGGCAATGTGATTTACGAGGCTCATGAAAATAGGTATATAAAAAACAATCGTGTGATAAGAAATTTATGTTGCAAAAAATTAAGGTAATAATTTGACAGCAGTAGAGTAGTCAGAAAAACGCGTCCCATGTCCTCTCGAAATAACTGAATTGACTAATTAAACCATAAGTGATTCCTTATCATTTCCCAAACGTATCTGTACATGTGATGAAGGTTGCCCAGACGCAATGAGTAGCATAAATACTTTATCACAAATGTAAATGAGAGAAAGCAGGGAATTTTCATAAAAAAATACCTAATGACGGTTTAATAATGAATTCGACGTACGCAAAAGTGTACAGTTATAACTGAGCGTGGATGTTGGTGTTTGATGTGATTCAAAAAGTTGTCAAAATCGTTGGGGAAGTTATGAATTGAGTATTGCACTTTATCTGAGTATTGAAAGACGATTGTTCGCATCCACTGCGCCTGGTGAAACATTCTCCCACTTCCAAAACAACCCCGAGACCATCAATTTGGGGTTGTCAAGGAACATAGCCCTGATGAACAAACTTCACGACAATAGGTATGCCACACACAAAAATGCCCCCCGTTACTAAACATAAAATATTATTTAAATAAAATTACAAAAATTACGAAATGATTGCTGTTTAAAAGCACACGGAACAACAAAGTTAATGGGAGCTCGTCTGGGTACATTCAACCATAAATATTTATCAAGTGGTGTTTTAACCTACTCCAAAACGCTTCCACCTTATTGGTGTGAACTTCAGTAGCAGGAAGCCCCAAAACCGTCGAACGAGGTTCACGCACATAGTGATATACCTTAAAGATGTTACTGAACGATAGACCAACTATTGGTCCGTATGGCCGGTATTTCCCGGTGCCAACCCGTGTTGTAAAATGGGAATGAGTGTTTCAGTGGATCGATTTTCGATGAGTTGAAAATATCCCTTCTTAATAGTCCTATCATACATGTCCGAACATCCAGATTGTTAGTGGCTACTTACCCCGACCGTCCTTAGTCCTGACAGAAACGCTTTCGTCCACTTACAGCAGTCAGTTGGTTTCGGTTTAGGGAGATAAGTGCCGGACTCAGCCGGATTACTTCAGGTCCATAAACTCCATCCATAAAATATCTTGGTACTCCTCCGGAAGACCGAGCAAAACCGGGACTGATAAAACGTTTCCGGTAGACTTAATCGAACGTCACCCCCTACCCACCCCCCACTTACATTTTTCACCGTAAGTTAAGTTACACATAAATGTTACCCATATAAGAATACAGTAAACAAGCCTAAATGTTGCATTGGTATACCGTACAAAAGCTTAAGTAAATTTATGTAAAGAGTCAACCATTGAATATGATAGTACTGTTAGGACGGAGCCTAAGAAACCCGTCCGATCGCACAAGCCTCCGAGTCAGGCCCCACGCACGCCTCCGAGTCAGGCCACACGCACGCTCCCAACGCTCCAGACAGGCTGAACCTGATTGGATGATCACAGAACGTGTCAGCCAATGTTTTGTCCAATCGATTAATCGACATGTCAAGGACACAATCTGATTGGTGCGTCACTGCGCCGTTCTCGAATGCACGATTAGTCTATATGTTTTGCATATCGATAACTTATCGAAGAATACACGCTGACTGTGGTCTCAACTTGCGCGTTGTCTTCGGGGTTTAAGCAAGAGTCGCTCGTGTCATTCGTACGCTTAGACCAAACACAACAAGCACAGATTCTTAAACAAGTAAAATGTGTCCATTGGAATAGCTGTAGTAACACTGTTTTGCATTTTAAACACCAATCCCTTTGCTGATACGAAAACCCTGTTTTGTTTTTCTGTCACTTATCACGAGTTCTTGTATGGCCCCGGATATGGCAAAATTTCCGATGAGTTCCACCGTGCGCTTACCATTTTGGTAAAGTTTCATCCTGTAAAGTCGAAGCCAAAGTTGTATTATGGGAAATACTTACAAGCGGTTGCTTTTCTAGGCCCATAGGATTTGGCACAGATGAATCGGTTCACAGTACATACAAAGTTGATGAATGTCACAATGTCACAATTTGTCCTTGTTTCGTGCACTTCTACGGATGTTGAAATTTAAGACTTTTCAAAGCTTCATCCAGATTGTACTTGAGTGAATTAATTGTTGGTGCAGAGACAACGTGTGGTGGTAGAGAATTCCAAGTAATGCACACTCTGAGGGCGAATGAATGCCGCCGGCATTCTAGTCGGCATTTTTAGGACAGATCTGCCAGTTTCGGGAAGGAACACAAAGTCTGTCGGAACCCAGTTTGTATGGAGGTGATATTCTCTGCCTGTGAAACACTTTTGGTCCCTGTGTTGTGCATGGGTCTCAACCTCAGCTCTGATGGTCCCCTGATCTTGTTGTCGTACCAAGACTGCAATACAGTCGTAGCCATTTCTGATGTGCCTAGGGTTATTTTCAGAATTCTCGGGCCGTCTCCGCGGTAGTTAGGAGAACAGGGGAGGCGGCTAACTGCTGTAGTCGACATCCGATGAGATCCTGAATGAACCGCCACTCTTTACAATGATTTTGCTGGCATTTTGACGCATCTGGATCATTTAATTGTGGGACTCCGTGTATAAGAATCACCCGGGTATTGTCCATTTCCCGTGCGCTGTCCGAGTTATTTCGTTGGTGCGCACGCTCGCTCCATGTTCTGTCTGGTAGAATCCTTATTTTATTTGAACTTTCTCGAAGGAGAAAGCTGGACAGAAGAACATTTTCTACGTCTGATTCGTTACATAGTGTCACCCGGAGTAACCGGGTTTCTCCGGCGTGAGGTGAATTTGGCTGTCGCCGAAGGCGCGTGAGACCCGTAGGTTGGGCGCTGATTCCCATTTGCGTACACAGAGCCTCCCAGTACCTCAGCTCTTCGTCTCGTCTTTCTCTCAGTGACAGTGCCATGGGCTCAGGAAAGTTTGTGCAAATCACAGTCAAGGAGCTGTTAGTCACGTCTTTCTTTTTTGCAGACAGAGCTGTTTTCTCTGAAGAAGCAGATAAGGGAGGCCACTGGATGTGTGTGGGCTCCGAGGTGGCGTTGGTTGACACCTACAGATGTTCGCGTTCTGCTGGAAAGTATGTTCGTTTAGGATCATCACCCTCGATCAGTCCTCGA